TACGTTGGCACTAAATTGAGCAAAGCGCGTAGGAAGGACAGATCAATGTGCGCGAAGTGGGAAATGACGTGAGAATGTCGGTGTTATTTCCATTTGAAGAAGTTGGGAATTCTCCACGTCCATTTCTGTCTACTCCCTACCAGACCCCACTAAAATTGTCCACCTCTTACGAAAGGCTGTTCCTCTCTTCCTCTGAACTGCGTGCCCAAGTCCCCTTCCTCCAGGAATTATGTTCCTGTTGACCATTTTGTTCCCAGTCGAATGCACACTGGTGTTAAAACTAGACCGCAGGCCAAGCACCACTAAAGTGACACTTGAATACTGGCCTCACCTCCCCTTTGGCCCTATGGCATGTAATCACCCTTTTTCCACAATGCTTCCTCCCCCACTTCATCAAGAGACGACTGTTTCAAGAGCTGCTTGCTATTGCCTCCCCCTCTAGCTCGATTACAGCTGTGACCGCCGCCGACCTCAAACGCTTGCAATTCCTCCCCTTGCCGGCACAGTATGGTCTCTGTTCGCGTCAACCCCCCACCCCTTCGCGCTGGTGTTTTCAAACCAATCCTGAGGCCATAGGAATGACCCCCTGAAATCATGTAAAAGCAGACCCGCGCTACCTCTCTTACTAACACATACAAACTTTCCCAAGACCAGTTTCACCCTGCGTCGCGTTATTGTTGAACTTGTGTTGTTCCCTTGTATAGAGTCAGGCGATTTGGTTAACTCCCCTCGCTCTTGACCTGGTGTATCCATTGTTGAGGTTGGTGCTTTGATTATCCTTAACTATTTGTTGAATAGCAACGTACTGCCCTGATAGTTGTTATCACCGGGTTTGAAGTACGCGTGGCTGCTGGATACAGAGGTAAAGGAGTCAAGACGAAACAGTCGGACCGAATAGGTAGTGGCGGCTTCTGCCTACATATTATTCCATGTAATTAGCCAGTTTCCAATGTTACATAATCTGCCTAACACCCCAACCAAAGTGCGAGTAAAACGCACTGGCTTTATTAAGGAATCCTCATTGTGTTGATATCGACAGTCTGAAGGTCGTCTTCGATGAGGTCCATCATGTGATCCACAACAGGCTGCTGCAGGGATGGGGACCCGCTGTCTAGACAGAGTCAAGAAGACCCGAGATGGAAGAGGGCGCGGATTGC